CCTTCCTTCCTTCCTTTTTTTTTAATATCTCTCCATTGATTTCAGGCAGGGGAAATGAGAGAGAGAGATAGAAACATCAATGATGAGAGAGTCATTGATCGGCTGCCTCCTGCCCACCCCCCACTGGGGATCGAACCCACAACCCAGGCATGTGCCCTGACTGGGAATCGAACCTCGACCTCCTGGATCCTAGGTCGATGCTCAACCACTGAGCCACACCGGCCAGGCAGCCTCAGCTTTTCTTGCTCCTCCTCATGTTTCCACATTGACTGCAGTAGCTTGCCTCAGAGAGTGGTCTCTTCTACCATTTTCCTCACCGTGTCCCTGTGCACCTTTGCCCTGGCAGGAGAGGTGGGCTTTGAGCCCTGCTACGCTGAAGTGCTGAGGGTGGTCCAAGGAAAACTTCACCAGCCAGATGAGATCCAGAGAAGCTCCTTCTATGCTTTCTCTTACTATTATGATAGAGCTGTTGACACACACATGATTGGTAAGTTCACTCCAGGTGTCAGTTCAGGGAGGCCACGGCAAGGCTCTGGTGGGAAAGGGAGAGGGAGTATCTAAAATGCTTCATCGGAGGTGATCATCCTACTCTTCTTCAGTGCTGGTTGTTGAGTGACACTAGTTACTCAAATGGAAGGGTGCATGTGAATGAGAATCTTTTCGAGCTAGAAAATCGTCTTAAAAATTTACATGAAGTCTTTTTTCTTTTTTTATTGAGGTATAATTGACATAAAGTAAAATGTACATTATTTTTTATTAAAATATAGTTGACATATTATATTAGTTTCAGTGTATAAAATAGTGATTCAATATTTATATACCTTAAAAAGTGATCTCCACAGTGAGTCTAGTAACCATCTGTCACTGTAATTTAAAATATTTTTTTTAATCCTCACCTGAGGACATTTTTCCCATTGCTTTTCAGAGACAGTGGAAGGGAGAGAGAGAAATATCAATGTGAGAGAGACAGCATTGATTGGTTGCCTCCCACACATGCCCAAAGTGGGCTGGGGATCGAACCTGCGACCAGTGGTGGTGCTCTTGGCCGGAATCAAACCCGGGACCATTCAGTCCACAGGCCTGCGCTCTAACCATTGAGCCAGGGCTGTACAAAGTTCTTAAAATATTGTTGACTATACTCCCTATGCTGTACATTCCATGCCTGGACCGATTTACTCTATAACCAGAAGTTTGTGCCTCTTATTCTTTACCTTTTTTGCCCGACCTTCCACCCCCCTCCCCTCTGGCAACGATCAGTTTATTCTTCATATTTGTGAATCTGTGTTTTGTTTTGCTTTTCAGATTCCACCTATAAGTGAAATCATATAGTATTTGTTCTTCTCTGATTTATTTCATTTAGCATAAAATGTACACATTTAAAGTGTACAGGTAGTTCATAAGCGTGATGATTGGGTGTTCACGCTCTTGTGTGAGATGTACCTCCCTCAAACCTTGTTACATCAGCACATTACCCATCTGATGTGAAAAAAAAGAATAAAGTGTACAGTTTGCTAAGTTTGACATATGCATACACCCATGAAACCATTATCAGATTCAATATTTAAAACCATATCTATCACCCCAAAGTTTCCTCCTCCCCCTTTATAACTTTTTTTTATCACAGTAGCAATGCTTTTGTTTAGCTGTGATAATATATGGATGTGATCTGTCAGGGCCTGAGATATGAATAGATTTTCTATTTTCTAATGTATTTTTTTAAATGGGTCTAATTTTTTATTGTGGTTAAATATATATAACTTAAAATAGATTATAACTAAATAAGTAGACTACATAGATTATATTGCATGAATACCATGTTTATTTAATCCATTCCCTAATGTTAGAAATTTTATTTCCTGTTTTTCTTTTTTACAAATATCACTAGGATGAATTTCCTTATGTTTCCGTCACACTTTTTGACATCAGCTACTCTTGTTTCATTTCAGATTATGAAAAGGGGGGTATTTTAAAAGTCGAAGATTTTGAAAGAAAAGCAAAGGAAGGTAAGTGCCAATGTCAGCCCTTGATGACGAGTCTGAGGCTGTACAAAGTCCAGTGACCTTAACGTTACCCAAAGTGCCACCGTCAGCAGAAGGCCTCTCAGAAGGCTGGTTTCCTGTCTTTGCCAGGAGCTAAAAGCATCAGGTGGCATAGAAAATATGAGAATAGAAGAGGCTTTAGGAAAATGGTGCAAACATTTCTAGTTTATTTTTTTAATTGAAATAGAGTTATCTGTTAATAAAACACCAAGCACCAAAATATATGGGAAATAGCCACAGAGGCTTCCTGGAGAGAGTCAGATAAAAGATCTTAGCCAGTGGCCCCAAAGTAATGCTAACTGGTATTTCCCTGTCTTCTGGGCCTCAGCATTAATAATATATAAGGGACGTGGTTGAATTGACCCTGAACGATAGCTCATAGAAATTTAGAAAATAAACTAGAGCCCATGTAAATTTGAGTAGATAAGATATAACATCAGAAATGTACAAGTTCTTAAGAAGCTGCGGTCTTGTAGAGGCTGTCAGTGCACAGTTCTAGCCTCCAAGACTCCTAGGGATCAGCCAAATGGAGAATTCTGCTTTGCTTATTCCAAGTCTATATTTAGAAAATTACACACCTCTCAGTTGGCTGCAAACTTGAATTCCATTCTTCACTCTCTCTCCCTTTCAGTGTGTGACAACTTGGAAAACTTCACTGCAGGCAGTCCTTTCCTGTGCATGGATCTCAGCTACATCACAGCCTTGTTGAAGGATGGCTTTGGCTTTGCAGACAGCACCGTCTTACAGGCAAGAGAGAGAGCAGAGGAGCCTCATAACAGACTACTTATTTGGGAGTTGGGAAGAAAGAGTTAAGAACTTGTTGAATAGCCAGAGTGGCTCTAGGTGGAATTATGATTTTTATTCACTGTGCAAGGTACTATGAGTGTGGGAAATTCCCTCAATGCAAAGGCAGCATCTGTTACCAGGCAAGCTATCCTAGAGGTCACAGAGCAGAAGGCTTGCAGCCCAAATGAAGATGCCCAGGTCCCATGGTTTATCAAATCAATTTCTAAACTCAGGGTGAGAAGCAACGGGAAAGAAATGGGACATATGAACACACAGGATAGGGTGCAAGCAGGTTGGGAGTGCCAGGCTTCCTGCATCCTGGGTTTCTATGTTCTGCCTCCCTCCGCTGCTGCCCACAGTGTGGTTGTAAGTACTAGAAATGAAGTTTAATCAAGGGAGCACAAAGACAAGGTGCCCGGGGCCATCACACAAATTTCTTCTCTTTGGGGAGGCACAGGCGCAGGTACATTGTCTGGTATTAGCTCATTCAGCCCACTAGATGGTCTTATTTGGCAGAGGACATGAGGAACCAGAAGAAGTGTCACCAACTAGTGGCTTAGGACCTCATGAATGTTGAATGCCTTGTGCATATGTAGTATGTCATATATTTTATGTGCCTCATATATTTAGTGCCTCTTGAATCTTAGGTCCCTCTTCATCTTTCTGTCTTTGTCCATTTGTTCCCGAACAGTCAGGCTCAGCTTTATCTGTAGTAACTTATTCTAAACACATCTTACATACTTCAGCCATCCCATTTATTTTCTTGTCTTCAGTACCATAATTGAATAATTGTACATTGTGGTTATGTCAATGAAAGAATGTCCAGCATTAGAAAAAGTCTTATTAGAGTTTATTTGAGCCAAACTGACAACCATTGCTGGAAAGCAAAATCTCAACAGATTGAGAAAATGCTCTAAAGTATGGCAGTTTGCAGCTTATTTTATGCATTAGATCAAAGGAGGAGACGTAAGGGGGTTACATGAAATCCACTGGTGGTAAATTAGGGAGGCGGGAGAAAGCAAAGTGGGGAAATCTCTGAGGCTGGATAAAAAATAAAGCACAGACACATCTTTTACACAGGTGGGTACAGGATAGTAAAGATGTACGGCACAGTGAGATGGCATGAGGGCAGCAAGACAGCAGAGTGGTCATGCTCTGGTGCAGGTGGTTGTGCCTTCAAGGGGTTTGGAAAGGAAAGTTACCCTGCCATTTCAAACATGTGTTATCTTAGATGCACAAAGACAATAGACAGTTTTGAAGGTAAAGATTGACCTTAGTCAAGGAAGCTACAGGCCTAGGACGGGACCACCCACCACAACCCACTTTTAGTTAAGAATTTTTTTGTTCAGACCGCGCTGTGTGGTTACTTTCAGTCTCCGGGTTTGTAAGGCCCACCATGCAGGCCTCCCCTGAGCTTGTCAGGTTTAGTTTGTGACCCCTTTTCTTCCATAGTTACAAAGGTGAATAAGATGTAATCTTTGTCTTCAAATGTCACATAGTCTATTAGAGGAGATGGCTCAAGGCAGCTTTGAACTTTGGGGTCAAGTAAACACTAGACTGTACTGTTTCTGAGCCTCCTCCCCCCACCTTCCTTTGTGCCCATTCCCCTTCCTGTTTCCTTAGTTCTAGGTGAGTTTATATTACCCAATTTGTGTGTTATACAGATTTCATAAATTCATTTGTACTAAGGTATTTGGACTTAATGTGTTTTACCTGCCAAGAACATCAGCATTTAAGGTGCTTAAGACAGAACTACTTGCCAGTAGATTAGTATAGTCATATTTAAAGCATGGGCTTTGCTGTCCATCAGATCTGGATTCAAGTTCTGATTTTGCAAGCTTGCTGGCTCTGTGACCTTAGATGATTTACTTCCTCTCTAACTTTTAGGTTCTTCATCCAAAACACAGGTATCCTCACAATACCTATTTTATAGGGCTGCTATGAAAATTGAGATAATGCCTTCAAAGCACAATACCTGGCACATAGTATGTTATTAGTATTGGTATTGTTAGTAGTGTAGGCATTTCACACGTTGGGGAGAAATTTGTGGATTAAAGAGGTCATCCTAAGCCCTCAATACATAGTACTAAGTTAACATCCTCTACTTAAGTATCAACTATAACCAAGTCCAAGTTTAAGAACAAGTTTCTGCCATTTCCAGTGCTGGCATCCTTTTGCTCTTTATGATTTCATTGGCAGCAAAATTTAAATCAGGTGTGCATAATCCCCTGCCCCAGAGATAGCTTCACTTTGGCATATATATCCCTAGGCTGTCAGCCCAGTCCTGAGAACAGAAGAGAGAGCATTTGATGGGGGGCACTCCCAGTTTGACTCAGGTGTCTCAGACAAAACCTCAAGATGATGCACATGCTGTTCTCCCCAGTGTTTGACACAGTGACTAGACTGGATTTCCTCAGGTCAACAAAGTGCTGTGTCATAAAAAACAGTACTAGAAAGACAGACTAAAACCAATCCATTGGTTTCCAAATCTGTGTATGTGTGGTGGTAACATCTTTTCTCAAAAAAAGCTTATGCAGAATGCCGGTAAAACTAGTGAGTGGAGCATCTAGTTGAAGCAGAGGTAGGAGGCTAAGAATCCTCACCATTTGGCCCCCGTTTCTCTTTGAAGGAACCCCCAGGGATTCTGAAGAAAACAATTTGATAAAGACTAATTGAATCCCCATGTTATGTAGTTGAGGAAATGGTGTCTAAAATGGGGTCACTGAATTAAGGCTCAACCTGGCTTAGAATGCCTTAAGTACCTTGGATGGTTAATAGTGCTTAAGAAGATGCAGTTACTTACAAGTATGAGTTGAGAAGCTAAGTATGTTCTTTTCTATCCCTAAATCTGTTCCCAACTCCTGTTATATTTAGTTTCAGGATTAGGGAAAGAGTTCTGAAGGTCCTGTCTGGAAAGCCTGGGTGAGATCACTTTCTGGGACTAGAAGATTCAGGGATCAGCTTGGCAGCGGTGGGGCAATAGACCACGCAGGAAGGAAACTATTGCAGAAATGGGTTGTGGGGAAGCCTCCAGACTGGCTACTCCCAATTTGCCTTGGTTTGGCCATGTGGATGATGTTTGCAGGTGTTCTCTGCCCATGCTGTGCTTGCTAGAGTTGAAAATTGAATGAAAATGTGAAGACTTTTTTTCTTCTCCCCAACAGCTCACAAAGAAAGTGAACAACATAGAGACAGGCTGGGCCTTGGGGGCCACCTTTCACTTGCTGCAGTCTCTGGGCATCTCCCACTGAAGCCAGGCCCTTCCTCTGAGGCCTGCATTTGCCAACAACCTTTTTAACAGGAGAAGGAGAGAAGACTCAGCCATGTTCTGAGGTAGTCTGGAAACCACCTGGATTGAAACCCAGCAGCTGGCTTAATCAGGAAGAAGGGGCTTTTGTAGACAGCTCTTGCCTCTAAGTCTAGAGATTTGGGTTTAATTAATTTTACACATCTAATAGGAACAGGTACCTAACCATTCTGCTTGCACAGCTGGTACCAGAGTCTAAATTTTTGAGCATACTTGTTTGTCACAGAGAGCCAAAAGGAATAGCTTTGGAACTTAACCTTGGAGAACCCAGGGACAAGTCCCTGGGAACCAAAGAAAAATCTCATTTCAACCCTTTGAGTGCCTCATTCCTTTAAACATTTTCATTTTCCTCTTACATGCTAAACTCAGCTGACTGCTCTCCCATGGCCTATCAACACCAGTATATTTTTCCTTCCTGCACATTGCCTTGTCCCACCTTTATCACACCCATCCACCTACCCCCAAAGAAAGAGAAAAGAAAAAAATACCTGGTTTTGTAACTCAAGGGGAAAGAAAGATACAACCTCTGAGGTTGGGTGATCCTGCCTTGCACTAGCTACAATCAGCCAGCTGAGAGCTGTTCTAACTCTTAGCAGGATGGAGAGCCACTCCTACCTGCAGATTCCAGCCTTAAGAGAGGAGGCCATCCTGTCTCTAAGGACATGTTTGGGAGGGTGTGGCTGCCTTGTATAGGCCACTTTCTTTTATTCAACTTTTTTTAAGTCAACCGTGGGATTACTGAACATGTCCATCCTAGGAATATGTGTTTATTCAGTGCCAGTACCTCCTTCCAGGCTCTGTTATAGTAATTTGTCATCCTAAGCTGCTTTCTTTGTATTTCTAAGAAATACATCTATACCGTAGCTATTTGAGGATCTAGATTTTGGTCGCAGCTCCTTTCAGTTTGCCCTTCTATTCTGTTCATAGCAGTATCTCTTCCTACCTGGCCCCCTGATCATTTTAGCTAACATACTCTGAATTATTTGTCTAGTTCCAAGGTTTCTGATACCTTTCTTGACGGTAACCTAACATTTTAATTGGTTGGCCATTGTGGCCCTCATCAGTACTGTGGATTCTCTTTTTTAGTTGGAATGCTCTGAGCTCTTCATTTTGTGAATTATTTCCCCTAAAATTCATTATCTTGTACTTTCCCACATGACATCACCTGCTTCTTGTCTACCCACTCAAGTGCTCTTGGGCTCAAAGGATCTTCCTGTTGACTGGCTCATTTACTTTGGCTCTTTACTTCCAGCTTCTTTCCAGCAGTTTGAATCTCCCAAACTTATAGCTTTCACAGTAGACTTTCTTTCAGCTCTCTCACAAAAGGTGTTGAACACCTGGCTCTCACACTAGTTCCTGGGGAACCTTATTTTTTTGTTATTCCACTGAGTCAATAAATATTTAACATCTGATGTGCAAGTAACTAGGCAAATTTCTGTATACTCATCCCCCAAATTTTAGTTTTTCTTTTAAAAAGTCAATGTGGAAATCTCTTGAGATTCTTCACACTGACTTTTATTATACCAAGGTCACCTTGATACCTTTGTCTTCCTCAAAAAATGTTAATACATAATGAAATAGAATCTTTATAGAGTTGGAAACAGCCCAGAGATATAATCCAGTCTTCTAACTGTTGCAGAATTCCCTTAAAACTTCTAACTGGCTGTCATTCAGCTTCTGGTTAGGCATGTTTTCAGACAGCTCATTCCATTTGGGACTGCACTGATGTTAAAAATTCCTCCTTATATTGAGCTGCAATCTGTCCTCTCAGTGATCTTCTCGAATCCTTCCTTTCAATCTTCTGAAGAAAGTTCCTCCCAAATCCTTTGTGGTCTCTTCTTTAATAGAACACTTGGCTTCTAGACCTCTTACCATTTTTGTCACACAGGTAATGTGTTAGAACCGGTCATACACTTAATGTTGTTCCACATGATTAGGGAGAGACCGGTTTCTCTAGTAGAAACCAAGTTGTTTTCCCAAGAGGTAAGCTGGGTTCACTAAAGATTCGTTTGACAGGTCCAGAGAGGTAAGATTCCCTGGTGTTTGTCACAGCTTATCTCTGAAGATTTCTTATAGACTGAGGCTGTTCAGACTCCTTTGGTCATCCCAAGTACCTCCAGAACTCTTAGATGCATTAACTCCAGAAATGTATCTACATATATTCTGATCATCTTGATTAGAGCATCTGGAGAATTAACCAGTTTATCCATTTTAGGAGGAATTTGGAGTAAGAATTATTATTTCTTAGGAAAACATGACTTGTCTATAATGTCCTTTCTGCCCCTCAGTATACCTTTTGGGCCTCTTATTAAGGAATCCTATAGTGTCTAATATTGCTGGTTAAAGTTTCTTTCCTGTAAATGTGTTTATATATTTCAAATACATATCACCTGGCCTGGCACACAGGATGTTGTGTGTTTACCATCTTCATATGAAGAACATCCTCTGTGGGTTATGGAGAGCCTTGCAAGATGTGCCTTAAAATTCTTCCTATTTTGCTTGATTTTTTATTTACATACTTTTGGAAAGTCCATGTTTTCCCTACCTGGGCTACCTTTCCATTCTTATGTGAAAGCTGACCCCCTACAGTGACCTTTCGAGACTCTTCTAGTAGTCACACAGCTTTCACAGTAGTTGCTGGGCACATTTTTCCTGAGATTCCAGGTACATTTGTGATATTACCACTTTTTTATTCTAGTGTCTTACACATTTTCTACATTTGCCTGAAAAGCTCCCTTGTAGTAACATATTTCTCATTTCTTCAAAAATTATTCCCAAGAATAACTTTGCTTGGTTCAAAAGCAGACTGTTTCTTCTCATTTCATCATCAAATCAGACTTTTGGGGAAAATGTTCTTTACAGTATACAAATCTAACGGATCCAAAAATCTCTTCGAGAGGCATCTCTGGTACTTCGAAGTGATTTCTTCAAACACCCAGAGCACCCCCACCCCCATCAGCCACCTGTCTGCAACCAAATATGAACAAATTCTGCTGCTAATCAGATGTTCCCTTTGACCTGGCTCCTGAGGTTTCAAACCTGTGCAATGAAATTATTTATTTTTATTATTATTGAACAGACAATGGTGTCCCAGAGAGGAACCATAAATAAAACTGAGATCTGTTGCTGTGATAAGTAATAATGAGCATTAACAAGATTTGGTTTTCTTCTTAGAAAGTCCAGTGCATGTATAACAAAGGTTAAAGCAATTTGTTTAATTTATTAATTTTGAAGCAGCAATTCGAACAAAAATGTACCAATTGAATATTTCTAATTCTTATCTCGATCAAAAAATTGTGTAAATTTATGACCAGCATTAAAAAAAAACCCTGTACAGATCTTCTCTTTAGAAAGGATTAACAAGTAAAAATGAATGCCACAGCACCTTAGTAATTTGTTTTAGTAATAAAAAGTTTTCAACAAAAATCGTAACAGCCTTCCTTTGGGGTATTTCTTGGCTTGGTTTATATACCCTTCTCACAGCAAATTATCACTCATTACTTGTGCTCCACAGACCCCTTAAATAAAGGAGAAAAAGAGACTAGAGAATGCTAATATAAAATCAATTTATTAAATCTTGAAACTATGTGATGGCCTTAGGAAAAGTTGTTCAGTTTTCTTCAACATAATCTGCAGAAGAGGAGCATTCATTTGCTTGCAAAGGCCATAATCTGTTCCTATAGAAAAATGAAACAAAGTGAGGTGTGAGTGCGGGTGAAGAAAATACTTTAAAATATCCAAAGTGATTAAAGCAAAAACTCAGCAAAAGTCCCAGATACTCTTCCCAAGAGTTCCTCCAGCATGTCTTTAACTGGATGTTCCTCAGGACAGAAAGCTGACCGAGCAGCAAAAGGAGCTGAAGCGTATCTTTGAAAGCCTCTATCTGCTGTTCTAAGCCCGCCCTTATACTGTATCAAGTTACTACCTAGATGGGCCCTAGCACCAACAGACCCAGCAGACTTTTTGCTCATAACTGCTGGAGAAGATAAAAAAGATAATTTTACAGCCAAGAAAATTAATTCAAATAAACCAAGTCATTGGCAAAGTCATGCCTCAGTGACCAAAACTCTTAGCCACGAGCGACCTCTTACTTTGAGTGGAGATACTGCATTCGTGGCCTGCAAGCCCCACGTCCTGAGCAGCACAAGCGGGGTGGCACTGGTGGAATAGAGCCTTTTTAGCAGGTCAATAGCAGCCAGAAGAGCAGTGTTGTGACGCTGTCTGTCTGTCTCATAACCTGTAAGGTGGCTCATGGAGCCTGGAGGAAAGAGGAAGGTTACATTCCTAATCCCATAGTGAAGTTTTCTTTCCTAGAAAAGCACATGCACTTATGTCCACCACATCTGACTGCTGAGGGGCATTTAGGGGTCCTGATCTCCCTTAACTACAATGACCTCTGGATACTTCTCTAAGGTACATGAACCCTTACCTAAGTCCTTCCCATCGAAGGCTGCAGTACGGAGGTGATGGACCAAGCTGGAGATATCCCCAAAGCCCATGTTGACACCTTGTCCTGCAAGTGGATGGACTCTGTGGGCTGCATCCCTAAAAACAAAGTGGAGTTTAGGGGTGGCCTCCAGCAGCAGAGTGAGAAGGGAGCAGCCCTGCTCTTCTAGTATCTTACCCGATGAGCGCCAGCCGAGGCCGGACGTACTCAGCAGCGTGTCCCAACCCAAGAGGAAACAGTACTCGGCTTTTGGCGTCCACCCTGGCTACACTTGGGGGCAGCTGGCGTGCTGAGGCCTTAGTGGGCTTCAGAAAGGCAACAGCATAGTGCAGCATGGTGCTGGCCGAGTCAATGAAGTCCGTGTGGTTGGCATCACTCCACTGAGCAGCATCAGCCACAAAACAAAGTGAAATTTCATCAGTCACTAGCAGGGAATTAAAAATTTAACAAGGAAACCCTTTTTATAGCCAAAGCCAAAGGCAACAGCACCTAACATGCCTAAAATGACCTGGACAGTAAGTGACAAGTCCCTCAAATAAATGCAAAACAGTTTCCCATCATTCCCCACAGGTTTTAGGAACAAGCCAAACTGCTCCTGAGCTGGCCCTGCCTACCTCTGACCTTGACCTTTCACTAGTCCCCACCTTTAATAACCTGCACCAGCCACACTGTAGCTCATTCTACAACATCCTTTGCGTCTGCCACTCTCCTCTGCGTAGAATGTCTTCCCACTTCTAGTTCACCAGGATCTTACCTCAGAGCGTCAGAGGCTGTCAGCTCTTTTTACAAACCTCCCTCCAAACTCTCCTCTGTGTGCTCACCTGTTCCCACAGCATCCTATGCATACTTCTACCACTATTCCGAAATTGCCACTGACATACCTTTCTCCTCATGTGACTATGAGCTTCCTAAAAGCAGGGAGTGTGTCTCATTCGTCTATCTTCAGACCCTCCTACACAGAAGGCAACAGTAATTATTGCTAAATGAATGTCCTACTGAGGCCCGAGCCGGGAATATATGCTAAATGACCCAGAGGGTGGTAGCACTTCTCTTGGAAGCCACTCCAGTATGTTCAGTTCCTTTTATTGTTGCCACTACAGAGCAGTGAAGCTTAAGTTCTTCGGTGTGAAGTCACTAGTGAGGTAGTGGAGTTTAGTGGTTAAAACCACAGGCTTGAGGGCCGGCCTCATTTCAGAACCCAGCTTTGCACTAGATTATGACCTTGGGCAAGTTACCTATCTCTAAATGAGCATGTTAATAGTACCTTCCTCAAAGGGTCATTAATTTAAATATATAAGTACAGGTAAAACTCTTCACCTGTACCTGGCACATAAAAAGTGCTCAATAAATGTTACCAATTATCACTTAGTGAATTTAGATAAGTGTAGCATTTAAACTCCAAAAATACTGTGCCATGTTATCTAAAAGCTGTATCACTTCGGAATAATCATTACTAGTGGTTAAGCACCTATAAAGTACGAGGCATGTTACATAAAGTCTCTAATCTTAAGTCTTTAGACTTCTATTGTTAATTATTATTATTATTACTAACCCCTGAGAGACTAGTGATAGTATTTCCACTGTTTAGGAGATTTACAGTTAGTACCAGTATTGAACCCCTATCTGTCTAAAGCTTACTCTTAAGCTCCTCACTGAAATGTGCTCAGTCCCTCTCCAAAGCATTCTGATGAATTAGGCTTCAAAAGTTCAGGTACCTGGGACCTAGTAGAGCTGTTCAAAATTACTGAAGTATTACAGCTTCAAAAAGAAGCCAATGCTAACTTCCACCCAAGCAGCTATTTCAATCAGCATAACAGCTGCCCACAACCCTCAAAAGAGCACACCAGTTGCTGATTTCTGTTGTTTGGATTTCCCTCAATGCCCTCCTCACGTCGTCCAGGCCAAGCCTTTCAGTTACGAAAGGGTGGCTGGTTGGTTACTTTTTTCCTATACAAAACTGCCTTCTGTACCTACCCCTGCAGCACCTCATCAGGCAGGCAGACTGATACTCACAAAGGCGGAGTTAATGGCATCCACAAAGTGCTCCTCATCCATGCTGACCAGCTCTGCGGCATGTTCGTGGGATGTGGACCAGACCAAGGAACTCAAGGTGTCTGAGAGCTGTCTCAAAAGAACACCATCAATACTGAGAGCTAAAACTCCTGTTCTTGGGCACTCTCAAGCACCAAGGTACAAAGGGGAAATGAAGCTAGCCTGGGGATATCCACTTGACACCAGAAAATGGCTGAGAGAACATGAAGTCCTGAAAGAGGAAGGCTGGACGTGTTTAAGCAGACTAGCCAGGTGGACTTCTTACCGGCAGCAGAGCGATGGGCCCAGAGGGAAGAAATCTCTGCCAAGCTACATTGTTTTCTGTGACCTGTAATAGAACAGTTTTTGTGAGAAGTACACACATTAAACACCAGTAGGGTCCCTGGATGGTGGGCTCATGGATCTTACCTCTGATAAATGCAGAGTAGCCACAACAGCAGACTGGTCGTAGTCCCAGCTAATATTCTGGATTCCAGCAGCTTGCCGCACTCTTGAGTTGTGACCATCTGCACCAATCTGCATGGAAACAAGAGCCTGCTGAGTCTTAAAATCTTTTAATAAGTGAAACTGTTCCAGAAGTTTGTCTCTGCCTCCTAAAGACTTCTCTAGTTCCAACTGCTGGCAAGCCCATATGTGGCAGGCAACCTTTTATATGCCTGCTTCACAGCCCCTAAAGGGGTAGTGCTACATATGTGACCCCAGCATCAGCTACCGGACCAAAGCTGGACATCTGGACCATGAGGTGCCAGCCACAGGTTAACCTCAGCCAAATTCTCTTGCTATCTGAACTAGAAAGCAACAGGCAGGCACTACAGCTGAACAGTCATGATGTAAAGTGAGGATTGGCTGACACAGAAAAGGGGAAGCTGATGAGCAGAGAGGAAAAAATGGAAGATGCAAGTATATGAGTAATTTATGATTCCTGAGAGGGAAAATACAGCCTCAATTTCTGACACTCTGGTTCCTGTCCCTGTGAGGCCACCTGTCCTCTATTTCATGACCTAAGAGGGTCCAGGAGATTGCATCCTGTGCCAGATTTACAATAAGACCATCTTAACTTAAGCTGGTTTACTGGGTACTGGTCCTTATAACCCAAAGCTTTGCCTAAAATTAGCATCAACTGTAGATTAGATGTAAAACTAGAGGCCCTAGAATTGAGGCTAAGATATAGATATGCAAGACCCCTGGCGAAATAAGAATCTTCAACTACCAACAATTTGGTCTGGAGGGTGCTGCCATCACCTAGGGTAATATGAACCCAAGGGCTGGAGTCTGTCATGGAAAAGGGACCAGGCCAGGTATAGCCAACTGCTTTGCTCTGGTAAAGAACAGTCACTCGGTCTAGAGAGGTCAGAAGAGAAAAAACAAAACATTAGAAAGGCAGCCCATGCAGGCTGAGCAAAACACTGTAACAAACCTAAAGCAAGGTCCTAGGACAGTTGTCTCTTGTCACTTATTCCTAAACAACAAAAATAGAATCTAAAAAAAAACCTTATGTGATCAATGCTCTAGTCTGAGAGCTGACAAATGACAAAAACCAAAGGGAAGACCCGCCAATGTGGCTCAGTGGCTGAGCTTCGACCCATACACCAGGAGGTCACTGGTTCGATTCCCGGTCAGGGCACATGACTGGGTTGAGGCTCGGATCGACGTGCAGGAGGCAGCTGGTTGATGTTTCTCCTTCATTGATGTTTCTATCTCTCCCCTTTCCTTCCTCTCTTTCTAAAATCAAAAACATATTTTAAAAAAACAACAGGGATAAGTCAGTACAAAAAAAAAAAAAATTAAGCTCTCAATGGATTATCAGCCTAAAGCAGGCACTCTTCCCCTCCTGCTCCTCTAGTTTACACTACTCCTATATGAGCCCACCTGTGCTTTTAAACAGTGTGGAAATACCATGAGTTGAAACAACTTCTAGATTTCAAAATCTGGAAGAAAAACCTTTCTTTTTAAAGTAAAAATCTTATTTTCTGATCATAAAAATTATATGCTTACTGTAAAAGTCTGAACAAAGAAAGGTTTAAAGGGGGAAAAAACACCCTCAATCATACCACTGAGAGAGAACTACAGTTAAAGCTTTGCCATATAGCTTTCCAAACAATTTCCTATGCGTGTACATATGCATGCACACACCCTCACACACACAAATGGGACCATATGACATGTACTTTTTTTAACCAATATATTATGGGACACGTTTCTAAGTGACTAAATATTAGATCTAAATTATCTTTAAAAGCTGCACAGAAGTTCATTATAGGAGTGAACTATCCCATATCAAAAAGCACTTCAGTTGCTTCAAATTTTTCTCTCTCTAGAAGAACCCTGAAATACTTGCAAATCATATACTGAATAAGGAATTTATATCCAGAATACATAAAGGACTCATAACTCAAAAATAAAAAGATAAATAATCCAGTTTTAAAACAAGCAAGATTCTGAATATACCTTTCTCCAAAGACACATAAGCGCCAATAAGCACATGAAAAGATGCTCAACATTATTAGTCATCAAGGAAATACAATCCCAACTACAATGAGATACCATTCCACAATCACTAGGATGGCTATAATTTTTTTAAAAGGGGGAGGAGCCCTGGCGGGGTTGCTCGGTTAGAGCGTCGTCCAGATATGCCCATAAAAGAAACAACCAATGAATGCATAAAAAGTGTAACAACAAATCGATGTTTCTCTCTCTTCCTCTCTAAAATCAATCAATAAATAAAAATTTTAAAAGAAAATACAAATTAAAAGGGGAGGAGTAAGTGCTGGTGAGTATGTGAAGAAAGTGGAACCCTTATACACAGGGAGGGGCAAAAGAGGTTTATAGCTGTTCATATGGAAAATAATAACACAGGAATAAACTCTGTTTTGTGTACTCACAACTGTAACCTACATTTGCCCACCCTGTATTGGTGGTGAGAAAGTGAAATGGAGCAGCCTCTTTGAAAAAGGTTGGTAGTTTATGAAAATGTTAAACAGCCTTATTATATAACCAGCAATTCTACTCCTTAGTATTCACCCAGAAGAAAGGAAAACACATGTCCATATAAAACCTTGTACACAAACATTCATAGTGTTACTCACAATTGCCAAAAAGTAGAAATGACCCAAGTGTCCATCTACTGCTGAATGGATAAAATGTGGTATGTCCACCCAACGGAATACATTTGGCAGTAAGAAAGGAGCACTGACACATGCGGCAACATGAACAAATCTCAAAAATGTTCAGTGGGAGAAGTCAGACACAAAAGAATACACTTTGTATGAGTCTGTCTCTGAAATATCCAGAACAGGCAAATCCTGACAGAAAGTAGACGAGTGGTGCCGGGGGATGGGGGTGAGATTGGGGAATATGATAAATGGGCACACGGTTTCCTTCTGAGATAATGGAAATATTCTAAAATAATACTGTGACAATGGTGGCACAACTCTAATAAAAATTGTTGAACTGTATCCTTAAAATGGATAAATTTTATGGTATGTAAATTATACCTGAATAAAGCTGTAAAAGAACACAGAAAAAAAACACTGAGATAGCATAAGAACGTCTGTTTATGGCAGACATTAGTGCCTGTCAGAGGCCCTTTCTTCCAGTAAATCCTGGAATAATTCCAAAGCGGTTCGCCTCGCAGAGAACGAAAGGGAGGTGGGAGGGGCGGGAGCCTCACCTGACACAGCCTCCAGCTGCTGCGTGAGAGCATGCATGATGACGTCATTCTCCACGACATAGCCCATGTCATCCAGGTTATCCTTGTCAAACACCACCAGGGCCTCTGAGCAGGCGTCCCACACCTGGAAGCCCAAGGAAAACGGAACATTTCTCCAACTGGAAACTGAGGACTGCTTTCCCAAGTGACAGAAGCAGAAAAATCACAACGTGTAAGTCCCTCTGGCAGGACATGAGGTGAGAAGAAAATTCTCTTGGGAATGCTTCCTCCCACTTCCTTAGGCAGAGTGTGGGCTTTGTCTGATTCTTCCCACATTCACAGAAAGCCTGGAGACTGCGGACTCCAATATCTTAACATAAGACACACCGAGATATCTCGCCAAGAGTGATAAAGGAAGCACCTGCATTCGCCGAAAGGCTTTGTATCTCATGTTGCAGATGTGGTCCCAGGCACCAAAACCTACAAAAGAAAGATCTATGTAGAGATCAGAGCATCCTTCCTGGGCTCCCCTTGGTCTGCCCATCTTGTTAAGTTAGAGGTTGCTTTCAGTGTTCTCCATAATAGAGAAATACTCTCTTCTATCCTGTTTGATGGTAAGACTAAGCTACTCTGTTGCTGAGTCCAGATTACACATTATAAAAAAAGGCCCAGCTTTCATGATCAACAGGTCAAATCACATTAAAGTAGGGAACTAAACAAGCAAACCAAAACCACACTGTTATTTTTTCTTTGCCATCCTATTGAAGTTAGTCTCTGGATAGAGACTATTTTTTGTTGAACTCCATGGCACTGGAGAGAGTCATTCATTGAGAAAATATCTATAGAGCACCTACAATATGCCAGATACAAATCTAGGTACTGAGCAAAAAGTGGGAAATTAAACGGACAAAGTCCCCACCCTTCTGTAGCTAACATTCTAGTTTATTATTTGTAATAAGACGGGGATGGGTGGGTAGGTGGGAAGAGATTAACCAAAGAACTTACATGCATATATGCATAACCCGTAGACACAGACAATAGTGCGGTGAAGGC